CTCTCTCTCTCTCGCTCTCTTTTTCTTTGTGTGTGTGTCTTTCTCACACACACCTTTGCTGAAGACTATCTTTCTACTTGGCTTGGTCTATCGGGAAAGACAGATGCCGTGCTTTCTCAGAGATGAGGTTCTATTTTGTTAGCTCAAATCCCCCGAAGCAATCAAAATAGAGGCTTGGTTGTCCCGCCTATGAGTAGGTGGACTGAGGTCATACGTATATGTGTATACATGTTTGTATGCATGTGTCTGTGTATGCCCACTATCAGGTTTACATGGATCTGTCACTCTTTCTTTGGCTCTCTACCTCCCTCCTTTCTCGGCTACCTGCATCTTTCAGTGGCCTCTCCCTGGCTGCCCGACTGTTTGACAGGACATGTCATGTTCCTTTCACATAAATCTCCTCATTATTAAGCCAGAGGGGGATTTTGTTACAATGTGAAATTTTCCCTTCCCTTGAAAAGACCACCACCAGGACTGAAAGGAAACAGAATTAAATGGTAGATGGCATAGCTGTCTTCTTCTTAGCTTGCTCTGTGTGGGTCTGTCAAAGAGGGGAATAATGGGGAATAAAGTATTTCTTTGTACATGTGCCCAGTACTGACATTACCAATGACTAGTTGAGGATTTGGGGAAAATAATACCAGGAAGACTGATCCTATTGGCCAGTACTGGATACTTACCTGAGTATTTCCTAAAAAACATGTTTTAAGAGTTAGTGTACACAATAGAGAAGTGAAATACCGTAAAATTATTCCCTCCATTGTATTTTTATCCCCAAGCCTTATATTTTAATAATATAAAACCATAACTATCTACTATCTGTGATTAGTTTTTCTTTTTCGGGGTTGTGCGAATAGGTGGGGTTTTAGAAACCTATATTGATAATTGTCTTTAACTTGCTTATGCATCCATCAGTTGCATATCTAAATCTGGAGATACTTAATTGTCTTTGCTCCTCTGTGAGAAACATAATGATTATGTTTTGCATTTGGAAGGAACGGTTTAAGGTTTACTCCCTCTTTGTCTTGGAATTTTCAAGTTGCTCTGTTGTCAGGCTTGGCTTGCTTTAAAGTTGAATTCGACTGGAACAGGTCTTGGAATTGGCTTGGACTCGACTAAGGTGGTCTTGCTTACATGGCCAGGTGTGTGCACGCAAATACACACGCACACACAGATACTCCCCTGTTTTAATGCCAGAGAAAAATAACTCAGTGGATAGATAAATAAATAAGCTTATCCCTGTGGAGCTTGCCAGTGGCCCTATGTCCTGTTGCTGTGACTGAATTATGGCAAACCTTTTGAACAAATTGGTTGTGAGTCTAATGGGTCAGAATGCTCTATATCTTGCCGAGTGGCCGCTGTCATGCTCTCACCATAACGCACTACGGCAGCCCCTCGCAGGGGTGTGTCTAGAACATTTCCAGTGGGGGCAAAAGAGCTACAACATATTTGCACAAAAATGAAAAGGAGGTAGCAGCGTTACACACAAGAGGAGGGCAGGTGTATTTGTAGTTGGTTGGGGGAGTCTGCTTTCGGGGACATTCTTATCCAATACAATATGCAGTTATAAGTGGACTGAACATAATAATGAGACAAATTCAACAAAAAATTTAAAATGTAAAATACCCTGAATGTTGCTGCCAACTCTAATATTGTAATAGTCAGCTCAATCTCATAAGCGGGTCTCATAATCAATAATAAAGGTACACATAAAAGTAGAAAATGCTAATTCTGAACCACTTTACTTCAGTACCAAGGACAGTGCATGCTCCTATAGATCATTAAACAGATTCATATGAACTCTCTATGGCCAGTTCTACACACAGTTGCCATTTTATTAGGTACACCTTGCTTAAATGAATGCAGGCTACTACAACAGCCCTGTAATAAGATGAAGGTTCCAGGTGAAGGTTACACTGTCCAATGTTTTAGAAAGGTGTTGATTCAGGTATTGATTGTGATGCTATTGAACTGTACTGCAATATACAGATAGGTGTTTCTTATTAGTTTGTTATTTTGCCTACCCTTATTGATGTAAATTGGGTGGACAAAATTATAGAAACACCTGCCTGTAACACTTGCAATTCAACAGCACCACAGACTGCATCCTCCAATTTTCACCTTCATGAAGGTAGGATTTATTGCAGGGCTGTTATATTATACTGCACTAGTTTTTGCTAGGTGTAACTAATAAACTGGCAACTGAATGTATGTTCTAGTCAATATTTGGTCCACAAGCATTAATTACATTAGCAGTTCAGACTTGTCTTTTATGCAACAGACAAAACAGTTGAACAACCAAATTTACTGCATTGTCACTAGATCATTTTCCTATCACAAAGAAAGACCTAACAGAAACAGCCTCCTGACGATGAATGGTTCAAAACAGGCATCGATAGTTATTCTATATATCATATAGAGGGTAATGTCCAGCAGACTAACTTTTCATATTAGTTTCCACTGAAATTAAATTTTTTGTCAAAAATCTTATTCCCATTCTCTGTTGTCTTTTTTGTTGTTGTTGGTTTAGATTGGTATTACACGCATAATAGGACCAATAAATAAGTCAGTTTACTTTGCTGAAAAAGACAGATTAGCTTAGAACATTGTCAGACTGAGTCGACACACCTAAAAACCAATACCTGCTGTTTGAGGGATCTCTAGTGATATGGCAATCCCCCATCAACCTCTAGATGAACCAACCCTACAGCTGCCCCCAGTGTCTAATTTCCTGGAAGTACTACTTCTGACAAGGTTCCTAGAATCAGCCCATTGGTTCCATTGTTAACACCATTAGCCCTGAATGATTGGAAAGGATACATAAACGCATTCGTGTGTGCGCACACACAGACATAGACACTTAGCTTACTATTGATGGTGTCCTGTGTGTGCTGACTTAGACTCTTTACCACCACTGGTGATCATCTTATAAATCAATACTGTGGGCCAGCTGGCCAGTGTTTTCATGTATTAGCCTCTGAAGACAGACAGTAATATGGTCAGCTTAGACTAGACAAACAGATTAATATATTAAAGAGGTCACAATGGCCTCCCTTGCCTTCTTGTAAGTCACGACAGGCTTCTACGAAAGTGAAAGGTCCAAATAGTATTTTGGTGCCAGTGAGTCTGCGGGGTCTAAATGATGTCAAGGCTTGGAATTTGTGGCTAGTGTTGTTGCTGATACTCATTGGCCTTGCTGTTCACTGATCTTGTCCTCTGTTCAAAGCAGGGGGTGATTACATTTCAGCTGAATTTGTTCAGTATCAATAAGGTCAATAGAGATGAATCATGGCATATTTGTGAAACGGTAGAACCATGTGTTATTGTAACCATAGGGGCATCACCAGTTCCTGAAAGCAAATCTGTCATGACTGCACAAAAACTGTCTTACACTGTTACAGTCAATGGTCAGATAGGACCATCTTTGTCAAAACACTTGCTTTTCTAATATGAAGGATAATGGATAAGAATTGTTTCTCACCCCTATGTGGCCAACACAGAATGTATATGGATCCATAGTGTTCTGGGAAATGCATGATCTCTGGTTAATCAATACAGTATAGGGTATCCTCCTCTTTTTAGCTAGCTACGACTTATCTAGTAACTGCATTAAACAGAACTACTTTCTCCTGGGCCTTTCAGAGTGTCTGTATATCTTACTTAAGGATTTTCTTAACTGATCTGAGCTTTTGTTTTACCTGCAGGATATATTGTTGTCTTCCCCACTATCATTTTCTCTTGCTTTTCTCAAAATCCTCATTTCTGTTTTACCTCCTGTGCCCCCCACCCAACCCCCCAACTCATTCTCTAAACCACAATTAGATTCCCTGTTTACCCAGTGGAGACTGGCTTGCATTACTCTTCAAACATAAACATGGCGGTAATCGCTTTGTCTATTTTTCACATGTGCAGCCATGCAATCAAGCGCACAGACCCATATGGGGTTTTTCTAGGAATTTGGTGGTGGTAAACGCATGGCGGTCCTGTGGTCTTTCTCTCTTTTGCCCCTAGCAGCGGAGGTCATTTCTCATTTCTCATATTTGTCGAGTCTGTGTGCGTGCATAGACCTTGAGTCCAGGTTTTTCCTGTTGCCTTTGTCTGTGGCCTGCTTCCCATTGACATGAGGTGGCAAGACCCCTGCTGCTGTTGTTTTCTGACAGCAGTTAGCCACATGGGTTCAGGCAAGGGGGGAGAAATGTAATTACCTTTTTCCCCTGGTTTTTCAGGGGGTTATTATATGGCCATGGATTACAGTGCTTGCCTACCCCTATAATAACTGCTCATTCAGCATGCTCATTTCGAGGGGCTTGTATTGGAGGATAAATGATGGGAAAGCCTTGACTGCTGAAGGATCCTGATCCTGTCCCACAGTAATTTGGGGAATGCTTTGAGAGTTGGGAGCCTCCTTTTTTACACCTTTGTTTCCTTATTTATCTTTTGGGATTTTTTGCTGATTTTCTTTGGTCTGTCCTCATTTTTTTCACTCGTTCTTACACTGCTGCTCATTTAGGTCACTTTCTCTGTCAAGATCCTTTGCCTTGAGTGAAAGCAAGTGGTATTGGAAGAAGTCAGTTCCCATGAAAGACTGTCGAGCCTCCTTTACAGCTAACAATGCAGTGTTGTGGAAATGCTAACATCAGCTTCTGGGTGCATACCCTGGCTCTTTTTTTGGCCAAGCCGTCTGCCTTTCTGGTCAGGACTATGCCCAAAGTCATCTCAAATGTCACTTGCACTAATCAACACACTGCAGAAATCTTCCTTGGCATTTCTCCAATGAAAAAAAACAACCAACTGTGGAAATCAATCTTTAATTGGAGTGTGTGTTTGTGCGTGCATGTTTACATGTGCCCATGTGTGCACGCTGCATGTGTGCAGTTGTCTTAAAGATGTGTGTGGTCTCATCAGTTCCTTTGCTTTCGGATAAGTGAATGTCATGGTGTATTGGAACAAAGGAGTGGCTTCTCTCTGCTTTTTGTTAGATGCCTGGTACCCAGTGATAATGTTTCCGCATGGTTCCAGTGTCCTATTTTTGTGACCATGATCAACTACATCTCCAAAGTTGTCTGCATGAGGCAGCACTGCCAACCAGCCAGTTAGAGCACATAAATAACTGAGTGCACCATTGATCCATAGTGTGACAGGGGGAGCCAGAGTGCTTGCGAACTCCCTTGAACTCACTCTCTATCATGCCTGTGGCTTTAGGGAAAGCCCTGACATTATACTTTATTGCTTTGACGGTTATATTGGCATTTTGCTGCCTTTTAGAGGATGACTGAGCTTCTGCCTTTGATTTTTCTTTCGCCCGTTAATGAAGCAGCACAAGGAGATGTTAGGAGATGATGTCATCTCCTACCAACCCCCCCATCCCCTTCACAGACAGACCGACAGCACCACCGACAGATCCACACACACACATGCACACACACACACACACAAACATACGCATAGAATGGAGGAGGTGGGGAGTGTCACAGCTTTCACACCTCCATCATAAAAGTCACAGTGCATCTATGATATCACAGTGTTAGCTTGTCGATGTTAGTGAGATGTTCCTGCCTTCCGGTAATTGGGAACGGTGGGTATGAAAAGGTCACTCTGTGTGTGGGTGTGTGCGTGTGTACCTGTACTTCTGTCTTTGTGAGACCCACAGTTCTAGACCTTCAGAGGGAGGACATTTTTGCAAAGTGAGGACATTTTGGCCAGTCCTCACTTCATCAAATGGCTATTAAGTTAAGTCTGATGTTTTATATGTTAGCGTTGATGGTTAATTTTAGGGCACGGGAAAAAGTTAATTAATATAGTCAATGGAGACTCATCATATGGACAGACGTACAAGGATGTGTGGCTGTGTGTGTTCTGGAATATGGAGAGCACTGGGGGGGATGGTGTGCTGAGATGGGGGTGGGGTAAGCATAGATGACAGGGAGCGCATGTTCCAAGAGATAATTGCATTTCTCTCACCTGTTACCCTTTACAGGCCTTCAAGAGTGCCACAATGAGCTCATACTGGTGTGCTGGAAAGGGCGATGTCATTGATAACTGGTGTCGCTGTGACCTGAGTGCCTTCAGCAAAGATGGCCTGCCTAACTGCAGCCCCCTCAGGCAGCCAATGTAAGTGTGAGGTGACACCATGACACCTAGGAATTCATGCACAAGAGATTTCATGGATGCATGCACTGATGCACCACAGGCACACTCACATATGCACATGGACATACACACTTATCTGTCTCTACTGACTCTTGGGGCACTTGAAAAAGTTGTAGACACAAGCACATTCTCCAAAGTTCTAATAGCTGTCAGTCAGTCCTTACACCCTTCTGAAAAGAACATGCTCTCATTCAAGGTGTCATCCACCCCAGCTATTGTTGCCCTGAAAAGTTTTAAAGAGAAACAGGAAGTTGAAAGGGTACGACTTTAGAGGAAAAGGCTACATTTATTTAAAGAATTGGAATAAAATATGCTTATTAGTATGTTACATTTATTAAAGGGCAACATTTATTGGCACCATTCTAGACTTAAAAATAAAAGCTTCACAAATATAGTGTAGCTGGACGACAGGATTCTAGAGTCACGTAACATTCAGCCACAGGGTCAAAATTGGTTAATAGTCTGGTTCTGTTCCTTTGGGATGGAATACATAGTGTTACAAAACATACTATTGAACATTGAAACTCAGCTTTTAACCCACATGGAGGAGAAGTCCTTAAATTACACAAAAACTGGGCAAACTGCTGAAAATCATGTGATATGATAAAAGACTAGCTAGTAATTTCTTTGGACTAATTAGCAATACTTTACCAAAACTTCTGATATTGGAGACATAATTGAGATTTACATTATGTTGGTCAAGTATTGTACAAGTAGTTTGGGATGCTTAATAGTGGTATTGGTAATGTTTTGTTTATAGATTGTGGTTATGGAATTGGAGAGGAAGGGCATGGTGCCACAACCAGAGTTTTGGTCAGGCTTTCCCTGGGCCCATGCCTGCTGGCACACATGGGCCAGTGAAGATCTCCAACTCTGACCAGTGTCGGAGTATAAGGCTAGTATAAGAATCTGTAGTACTACCATTATTGCCTGTGAGGATGAAACTGAGCTGCATACTTTTTATAAAAAAGAAATAACCTACCTCTCTCAGCCGCCATTGTCACAGACACAGCTGGAGGGCAAGCAAAATGGAAATTGTTCTTTTATCTCTTTTGAGGGATTAAAGAGGGAAAACTGCACAGGGAACACTGATGGAAAACAGGTGGCATTGGAATGCTGTTTTGTTTGAAGCAGCTGTTTGCCATCCTGTTGTCCAATGAGATATAGGCAGAGGTGCAACAGACTCTACTGTAACACAACAATGACCACATGGGATTCCTACTTATCCCTTCTAGGTTTAGGCATTGGGCAAATGCACACACACACAGTTTAATTTGAAATTCCAGATGAGGGGAACAAAGTTTTATGGTATCCTTTTGATCTCATTGTTAATATTTATCTGTTTTCCATATCTTAAAACTTGTCTTCTCTATGTTGCTCCATTAGTTTGCGCCTGGCCCCTTACCTGGAGCCCTCAAGCACAATGGTGGCCCTGGAGTGGATGGATGTGGAGCCTCTAATTGGCTGTAAAATTTCTGACTACATCATCCAGCATAAACGAGTGGAGGATCCCTTGGAGGCAGAGGTCTACACAGGTAGAAAAACTAAATTCCAATTGATTTACTTTTTGTAATTGTATTGATTTAAAAAATATGTTATGATGAAATGAGCTTGTGTGTTGACAGTTTTATAAAGACTAATTATTATTTTGATTGAGTTTGGAACTTTCTCCTACATGCCATAATCAGGTCAAAATCATCTTTTTTAGTTGTGTTGCCTATATAAAAATAACTTATTATCTTGGTTAAATCTTTCTTTTTTTTTATTTATTTAGCTTACTTAATGTTGGTCTTTATTGTTTTAGCACACATACATACATACACATACAAATAGTTACATACAAAAACAAGTACTGAGAAAGAGAATCATTTCTTTAATTGTATGACTTTGTTGGTTTCATTCACTTTTGGGGGACAGTTGTTTGCACTGTTGGTCGGTGTGTTCTTCCATATTCATATGGGTTTCCTGTTACTGTTAACAGATGTGGAAATTATATAGATTAGAGGTTCTAAATTGTCTAAACATATGTGTGCAGAGGATCAGTCATTCATTCACACTAATTCCCATAAGGGAGGAGTCTAGAATCAGCAATTGCATAGCATATGTCTCGCCTAAAATGTTTTCAAAAACACATTTCGTTAAACTGATTTTATAATATTAATAATATGTTTTTCAAACGACCCGCCATGTTGGTTCATTTTGAAATCCCGGAGAGCAAGCATTTGTCCAATCAAGTGCAGCCAGAAGTGTTTGCGCTGGTTGTAGGAGGGTGTAGCCTTTTGTGACTACAAGCGTCCAGTGCTGGGAAGCATTGCAACCCTTGCTTCCAAAAATGTCCCTGTGGACAAGTCCGATAATTGTGTTAGCCCTGTTAACCTTGTGACTAGTTGAATTTGAGATGGTTTCAGATTCTGTTTTCAACACATGATTGTGTTCAAATAAATAGAGCATCTGTTATGTATAAAAGTTACGGAGGTTAATAACGTTGTATTGGGGCATTTGAGAGTGGATCTTGATTGCAGGAAAACTAATTGCCAACATGAGCTGTGCTTTAGGTCATGCTGGAGTCAGAACTGAGTTCTCTTTTAGCTTTGTCTGAACCTAGTTTTCATTTTGTCCTCAAAAAGTATTCTTTAAAAATGGCGATGAAAAGATTAAGATGGAAATAATAATGAAAGTGCAGAGTTAAATGCCACTGATATATAAAGCAATGAAGATGTTTCAGGAGTTGATAAAAGGAGTAAAGGTTACAATTGGAAGGAATGAGGTTAAAATTTTGGTCTTGATACAGAACAGAAAGAGAAGCTTAGACTGAGGATGAGAGAAGATGACGTAGTGCAATTTATCAAGTGCCATAAATGGTGCTGACCATTGTGCTGTAGGGCTAGGGAAGTGGTCATGGTTGTGACGAGGGGCTGGGGTGAGTCAGAGGAAGGGTGATAGGAAGGAATTTAATAATATTGGAGAAATGAGGTAGTCTAGAAGAAGCTGGCTTTAGTCATTGGGAAGTATGGACAGGCCATCCATCACCCCTGGGAGGAGTGCTGATGAAGCGTGGGCACCAGCAAGCGAAGAGAGGGTACAGAAAGCTAGACACAGGCATGCTGGCAGAGGTGAGGTAGGAAGGGGCAGATGGTGTGGGTGACTCACTCTGCAATGTGCCCGTCACCACTATAAATCATGTTGTAACAGACAGCATAATACAGATTAGAAGTCATTGTCTTCATCTTTTGTTTTTTGTTTTCTATTCCCTTTATGCCTGACAGTGTTTATCTGTGACTGTTAATCATGTCCTTTTTGTGCACTCTCAACTTTTTGGACAAAGTTAAGATAGAAAGTTGGTGAGTAAAAAAAAAACAACTAACTTATTTGAGCGCATTGATATGTGTGTTCGGTCTATAACCCTCTTAGAGAGGAGTGAGTAATGTTAATTGGCAGGAGACCCAGGCAGAATAATAGGTTCTCCTTTAGTGGAAACATGATGTATCATGAACTGTATAGGTACGCATCTGGGTAGCTCCCACTTCCACTGCAAATACTGAAAACTGTAGCTACACAAAACCTTCATTGTTCTCCAAAACGGGGGGGATCAAGATTGCTGATACAAACTTGGAAGGCATTGCAGGGGTCGATTTATGAAATAATAGGGGGCTCTTAAAATGATGAGATCTTGTTCTCTGGACTCAGCAATAAAAGCCTTAGTGTCTGAGAAGTGTCATTTTCTCACACTTACTATGACTTATTTTGAAATTATTGGATTTTCTCTTTGTACCCACTGCTGGCTTCTTATTTAAGGACCATCTTTGAGGCACTTTCTAGGAAAATGGAAGTCTGTATTATAAAACCAAAAGCTGAGCTGAATGAGAAGTCCAGTTTAGCCATGCACCCTGTTCACCTTGTGGATAGAAGCTGCTCTCAAGCTCGGCCAGTGCTTGATTATTTTTTCTCTGCTCCTCTCAATTTTCACATACACACACACACACA